CTGGGAAAAAAAAAAGTTTCAGATTATTTGATTAATCAGTACAAATTAGCGAAGCTTACTGTGTTAAAGCAAGCTTTAACTGTGCATTGCATAGTAATCTCAGATGATTAAGAACAACACTTAGCAAGTTAAAGAAGAGGTACCTTTTTAGAATGACAAATTCTGCCACTCTTAAATAAGGTAGATCCCTCATTCTGTAAGAATGATCAATACAGCAAGAAGGAAGGCAGGGTAACCTGCTAACACATGCTATGTAGAATTCTCAGCAAATGTTGACTTAATTGTTGTGTGGGCAGTGAGAAAGTAGCTGGGAAGCAAGCAGCCTGTAGACAGGTTGGATGGAGTTAAAATATCAGTGATGTGTGCTTTCATGAAACAGATTTTACTTTTTTACCTTAAAAGTGACTCCATCAGGGAGACAGGCTTTAAGGAAAATTATAAAGCAGTAGCATTTATCTGAGCATTAAATAGAATTTAAGGACTTAAGAATATTATGCCATGATAGCTAAGAATTACAAACAATCAAAAAGTCAAAAGGTGGAACAGTAATCCCTTCTTCACTATTTGGTACATATGACCAACTAAGATGATGCTTTTTACCTAGAACAGAAAGCTGTTCCTTCTTTAAGCCATCAGCTAAACTGTTGGAAGTAGTGTATTTCCAGTTACTACAGTGACTGTCATTCCAGTTACTCTGGAAGCAAAGGAGCTCAGTGGACATGATTGTTCTTCACAGGAAAGATTAGATCATTCTTTCAGAGAATTATCAGAGAAAAAACCAAACCCATAATTGGATTAAAAAAGTACTCACCTCCATCTTGCACTGTTCCTTCTCTGGCTTCATACGGATTTTTAAAAATGTAGTTGTTAAGAATCACACAGTAACCATGTGGGTTATTTTTCATCTTATATGATTCCACAAGCTATAGAAACAAAGAAAGCAGGTAAGAAAGCAGTGCTGAGAATCCAAAAGAGAAATATGCTATACACAGATTGTTGGTTCTTCATGTCCAAGTGCAAAAAATCATGAGGCCAAGACACAAGAAAGGAAAAGCTTAAGAATACAAGTTAGCTACAGGGGAGATGAATCTGCTTTTTCTCCCTGAATCCCTCCTCCTCTCTCTCTGTGGTTAGGATATGATTTTGGCATGGGAGAAAGTGAGTATCCAGGAACACAGCTTTGCATGTGCAGAGGAAAATTTCCTGCAACCTGTCATTCCCTCTGAGAGTCACAGAATCACAGAATGTTAGGATTTGGAAGAGACCTCTGTGGGTCATCTAGTCCAACCCCCCTGCCAAAGCAGGGTCACCTACATCAGGCTGCACAGGAGCTTGTCCAGGTGGGTCTCCAGAGAAGGAGATGCCACAACCTCACTGGGCAGCCGGTTCCAGTGCTCCATCACCCTCAGAATAAAGAAGTTCTTCCTCACGTTCAGACGGAAATTCCTATGCTTCAGTTTGTGCCTGTTGCCCCTTGTCCTGTCACTGGGCACTACTGAAAAGAGTTTGGCCCCATCCTCTTGACACCCACCCTTAAGATATTTATAAGCATTTATAAGGTCACCTCTCAGCCTTCTCTTCTTCAGGCTAAACAAGCCCAGCTCCCTCAGCCTTTCCTCGTTCTTGTGGGTTTCTAGTGAGACAGCAAATTCTATTGTTCCCTTCCATCTGTCCAGGAGTATCTTGACCAGTATTTCAATACCCCAGTCTCCATTATCGTTAAGATACACAACAGCCACTCCTTCACTTCTTGCCTAAAAGGTTGCTGACAGCCAGGTCCTCACAAAGGAACAAGGCTTGGTCTTGTTTTGAAAATAGGAATCGTTCCAAGGCCTATATACAAAGCCAGAATCCCTCCCTTTCAGCTCTTCCACCTGATTATTCTTAAGAATTTACACTCCCTCCTCCAAGGAGCTGGATAAATACTTTCAAGGTAATCTTGAGGTATTTCTCACCACGTGTGGTGTCTCCCCCTCTGCTCCTTGTCCTGCTGGATGCACAGACACAGACAGTGGATAGTGGAGTTTTTCCTTAGAATCACTTTCTATGAGGGAGAAGATAAACAGAACATTTTATGACTAAAAAGATAAATCTTCCACTGTGCATATTTCAACACTCAAAAAAAACAGTGCAAGGAGTGAGGTGGAGGGTGTTTTCCGCATCACTGAGACACCATCCTTTTGTAGAGCTGGGCCAAGCAGGGTTCCAGTTTCACAGACTGCTGGTTATTGAAGCTGTGCAGAGCTGTGCTCCATTTCTTCTCTGCTCATTTACTGGTAGCAAGAGCCATATAATAAAAGGCTGAATGTGAGTAGTCACCCCAGGCAAACCATTCACAAGCATGTCCACTATGGGATACATAAGTGACAGAAGAGACCCATTTTTGTACAGTGGTACACTACAACTAGCTCTTTTATTTTTGACACCATTGTCTCTTCTCCAGAGAACTTTACTTTGGGTGGACACACCAAGGATGCAGAATACCAGCACAATGGAAGATCTCCTCAAAGCAACAAAACAATTCTTCGGCTACAACTGCCTGAATTAAGTGAAGAAATCAAACTCATTACCCAAGGAAATAAGTCACTGTACCCCTTTTACAAGTTACACCAATGTGTTTACATGGAATTTAATTGCCAGCGCAACAAGATCTGTAAGACTCACTCTTTTTCTACCTACCAAGGGGAACAAAATAATAACAATAGAACTAAAAACGCCATTCCCCTGACACAGGGCTTGCTTACACTAGCCACCCTTGCAATTATCTTCTGCTGTTTTAGAGATACAAGTACAAGTCAGCAGCACAAAGACATGCTGGGGAAACCAGTTGGTATCTCTGCAGGGAACTGCATGGGCTGTATTGATATGTCTAAGGAAACATACATCCTGAGTTATCCAAAAAGAGGTTCTGGGGAAAAATTCAATAGGTTTCAGTTGTTGTTGGTTGACACATCCTGTTTACCAAACAGTAAGGCCCAGCTGCAGTGTCACAGGTCGCCACCCCAGCTTCAACAGCCCAGATAATGCTGAAGTCCTTGAAATTTCGCATCTGGTACAGAAAGCTAACGGTTACACTTTAGCCAAGTACCTGGTCTCCAGGGACTTTAACTTTGACTAAGAGCAAACAGCCTGCCTAACAGAAAATAATGCTGACGATCTCCCAATACAAGTTTCCCCAAGAGAACGGTCACCTCCAGTCTATTTCAGTGACTGAAAAGCTATCCTGGTCTAAAACCAGCACTGCACTGTTTCCTGAAGAGAAAAATTGCATTTAAGGCAAAGAGGAGGGAGAAGCAGACCATTCACAAGGCACAGAACGTATTTAAAGGAGAGATACAAGAAGGTATGATAATGAAGTAGCAGAAAATGTCAGAAACCACAGGTATCAAGAGCCACTCTGCCTATCCTAGGATACTGTAAGAATACTCTGGACTCCTAAGCTGCCAAGGGCAATAATCACAAGAATACCAGCTCTACTCTTGAACAGCAGATTAATTTACCTTTTTTTTCTTCTTCATAGGTATCAATTTTTTTCTTTACATCAGCTCTAAATCCCTTTAATATATCTTTCAGCATTGCCAGGTCATCTTCTTTAATTATTCCATTTCTTTCCATTTCCAGTAATACCTTCAACATTGACTGGTAAAACAAAAACACATAACCCAAACTCATAGAGTGAACTTCAACAACTGCAGTATCAGGCACTTCTGGACAGAGCACAAGATAACATCCTCATTCCCAGAGATCGACCAGCTGAAGACCAATTTCTTTTTCCTCCAAACTTCATTAAAACAAGGGTCAGGATGCAATGCAACTCAAGAAATACATCACTAAGGTTAAGACAGGATCATTAGAAATTGCCTATGGCTAGGCTATCCTGCTTTGTTTCAGCAGTGCAACACCCCAGTGTGGATAACAACATGGCATCCTGTTGTACTTCGGTGTTCAGATGAAGTGCTGTTAAGTCATTTAGCTGTGCCATTGTACATTTTCTGTCACAGAAAATGTGTTCAGGGCTATTTTTATTTTTTTTGATAGTCCGCCAAGTTGGAGGTAAAACTGCTGATTTACCTATTAGTGCCACAATACAAATATGACTTTTAAGGAAGCTTCTTAGTAATACCAAGCATTTTTATAACACCGTTTATTATTTACAATAGAAGTATTGAACTAGCTCATCAAACCTCTTAATACTTTTGTTGGGAGAGTTAACAAAATGCTGTTACCTCAAATTACAATAAAGTAGAAAATATACCCAATGACACAGAAAAGTTTGTGGCTGAAGTCACATTAGAACTTGATTTTCTGTCTCAAAAACATTGTTTTTCCTCTAGCAAACATCACTCTTCCTAGATACAGCATATGTACAAACATCTTACAAGAGCCAAGCAAAGACAAAAGGAAGAGCATGACAGATTTTGCAAGAAGAAAACATTAGGGAGACAGATGGTAGTGGGAAAATACAAACAGGAGAGCAAAAAAAGGCAGAGAAAAGATAGAATGAGTACAAAAGCGTCCATTCTTTCACACAGCAGCTATCAGCTAACATTACAATTCTTTCAACATCAGATTTTAGTGACAGCGGACTGTTTTCTCTTTCCTCCGTACAAAAACTAGCAGACTCTGAACTACCCTTGCAAGAAAATTATCAAGATCACTTTGTATACAGCATTATCGTGGAGCTTGTTCTTTGGTATTTGTTTCTGGAGTAGGAACTTCACGCTCTTGACATCTTCTGGAGTCAAGTCCTCTGCAATTCCATATAGCAGTTGCCTGGCAGTAAGAATAGAGAAAGACTGATTAAGAAAGTTATGAGAAGTAAACACTACAATTACACTTTTGAACTGCAAAATGTAAAACTCACAATGGCAGGCAGTCATGCTGTAATAAATACAGTTACGCTGGGATATTCATAAGACAACTGTGCAGACAGAAAGCAAGACACACAACATTGCTGTTGTACATTTTGCATGCAAAGGTTTACTTACTTCTGTGCTTACCTGTAGGCTGACACTTTTGCCCTGCCTGGGATCTGAAGCTCTCTCTCCATCTCCTCTCGGCTAGAGCCCAGGTGGGCAGCCAGGAGGTCCATCCGATTGATCCGGTAAAGCAGCTCCTTCAGGAAGAACAGGCTCCCCACCTCGATCATGTCTTTCTCCTGCAGCGCTTCAAAGAAGGCCTTGGGCTCCTGGATGGCTTCCAGCTTCCTCATGGGGATGTGCTCCAGGCTGAGGAACTTCAGAGCCACCACTTCATCTGTGACCAAAGCCTCAGAAATGTCAAAAAGGAGTTTGCGGAAGTCTGTACTCATTTCACATCATTTAGATTTGGATCTAAACACAAACAGAAGTTGATTTCATTTATCAGTAACAGCAGTGCATCGACATGATATAAAAGGTATTACATCATGTAGAATAGCCAAAAATAAACACATGCAATCAAAAGTACTTCAGTACAGAGATGCTGTCTTGTTATCATAGCTTTGATGCTTAGCTCTTTCAGTGCTCTTGACTTAACAAAGAATATGAAAAATTCTCTACTAAGTGAAATTAACAGAAGAAGTCATGGATATGGATCATTCTTGCTTCCTATGGTGTGTCCTGGGTTTGGCCAGGACAGGGTTAATTTTCACTGGACTCCAGGAAGGGGCACAGCCGGGGGGTGGGGGCTGACCCCACCTGGCCAAACAGAGCCCGGTATTCCATACCATGTGACGTCACGCTGGGTTCCGGTGGGGGGGAGGCGGGCAGCAGAAAGCGACTCACGGCTTGGGGGGACGCGGTGCCGGTGCTGTTCGGGAGAGCGGCTGTCTGGGTCGTGCGGTTCGTTGTTGTGTTTTCTCCTTATTTGTACCGTTGTTGTTCCTGTTTCCCTCTGTTTGCTGTTCTGTTAAACTGCCCT